CTGTGTATCAATCTCGTGGGCAAATATTACAAACTGACTATATATCGGCATATATTTAAATACTAAATCCAAAGTACAATTTAATTACTAAATTTAAATTATCAGTTAACTCGGCTTCGGAATATTAAAAACTTCTAATACGTAACAATAGTGATATCCGTCCATCATTTTAAACTGTTGACTAAAAGAGAGTAACCAGTTAGCAACACCCACTGCCTGTGCTACTACTATTAACCAAATACGGGGATTAATATTCATAGCTGTAACGCTCCGACAGCTGAAAGTGTACAGACTTTTAAATGGTATATCGCGGATCCAACACTGAACCTTCCAATCCGTATCTATGATCACTGGGCCAAGTCCGATCACTTTCCAGATAATTTAAAAACTATGATAACTAATCAGCTACCACATTATTTGATCTTGCTTATAATGTAGCCTATCAAAGCATGCAAAACGACCACTGGCTTTCATTCTCAAGACTAATTACAACTAATATATCCAGAATATCTAGCCAAGCTTTTTCGAGTTGTGGGATCAGAGTATTCTCCAATAATCCAGTTATATTTTATGAAGAAGTGGCTATTTTTTGGCTGAGGATCTCAACACGCTAGACAGTCTTAATAATTGTGGAAGAGACTATAAAAAGATAAATATATGTTTTCATATAGTCTTAACACAATTCTTTATTATATCTACATTTTTTAATTGTATTTTATATCTATATATTAGTTTATAAACCAAAGTATAACCGAATTGAACAAACAATCTGTAGACTCAGTTCTGTTTACAGAAGTATGAGTTCCCAAACAGTCCACAAAAGTATATTATTGTACTTATTTTCTAGTTATACAAATATTACAGTATTTGTAAGAGATTTAAAATTTCGAATGGCTTAAAACTGAGTTAAATTATAATTTAGATTTAGAAGTTAAATAAATGCCGATATATATATCCAGTTTATGATATTTGCCAATAAGATTGATACACACGGTTTTCTTTTTTTTTAATACAAATATATTTTAATACACAAACAATTATACAATTTACAATAACAGTTATTACAAATAGTTATTACAAAGTGTAGTTTTACAAACTTACAAGCAATATAAAGTCTTCTTTCTAGTCTGGAACTTCCTTGATGTCTTCTCGATGAGCGAGTTAATTTCGAGTTGATGTAGGTACAATTCACTGAACAGTTGAACCTTTTCTGATAAGTTTATTTCCCAGAGTAACAGTTGAACGTTTTCTGATAAGTTTATCTCCCAGAGTAACAGTTGAACCTTTTCTGATAAGTTTATCTCCCAGAGTAACAGTTGAACCTTTTCTGATAAGTTCATCTCCCAGAGTAACAGTTGAACCTTTTCTGATAAGTTTGACTTTTACTTCAAGTTTATAATTTGGAAAATTATGTTCAACTAAACATAGATTTGTTAATTTATTCGTATTTCACAAAATATAACTTACTTTTGACAGCTTGACTAACTTTCATAGGTTATAATTTGGAATTTTATGTTATGAAATTTAACTATCAGTCGATATTATTTTTTAATATTGCTTTATTTTTCATAATTATAGTTTACGTCCTTAAATTTTTATATTAGAGGTTGACTGATTTCTCTAAGCAACAGTCCAAAACATTTGTTGTGCAATTATATAGCGTATAGACCGTCAAAAATGACGAGACAAGTACTACCACCCCCACCCCGTAGTATACCCTAATCTCACATTTCATAGCTAAATGAAATAAATAAATTTAGCAAAATCAAGCTTGACCAACAAAGAGGCAGAAAAGTTCAGTCGAGACAGTCAAACGTCAGTAAATTCCTTTGTGAGCCAATCAAAATTAAGATCATTCATTAAATGGCAAATTCATAAAATAATTATTGGTAAAAATCAGTTAGATTAACAAGCTAGAAAAGCCAATGCATTTTGGTAACACCACGTTACAACAATGGTTTTTATGTCATGTTGCTTTTCAACAAAAGCATAACCTAATATTGTTGTTAGTCTATGTACTGAAAGTATAAACTGAAATATATAGACAACAAAACTGGAAAAAATATTTGTTGATTTCTTAATTTAGAGTCTCTGTTTATTAAAGGTTTGTTTTTATTAAAACCGTTGGTGATATTACAGAAAATAACTTAATTCAGAAACAATATAAGTTTAAAATTAAATGCACTTGGATCTAGGCTAGGTGATCCCACATTACGTCTTTACTTTAGGCTTATTATACCAACACTCACCACACTTATAAGGTTTCACGGCACCCCCATCACGGCCCCCTTTCACCCCCGTCACCAAAATCGTAATGGACAGATAGTAATCGAACTATCCTATCTGGATAAATCCATTTTGGCTTTTATGACTCTTGCTATTTCGAGAAATCAAGAGAAATCAGATGTGACGTGACGTGACACACACGTAAAAAAACAAAAAACAAAAAAAAACCAAAAAAACATCTAAATCTAAAAAACAATTATAAGTGATACAATTTTTGCAAATAACGATCCTCATCATAAAAGAACCTAGGAGAGCAATGCGCTCTGATATTTCCTCCTGTCATTCGCAAAGGTATGACGATGAGTAAACGATACTCTACTCTGGCAAAAAGAGGCGTAAGATCTTACATAGCAATAGAAATAATACTAAACCTTTAAATATGAGAACATTTGTTTATGAATTGTATATATATAATGTTTGTACTTGTTTGTTTTTAGTAGTAATTTAACTAATACAAGAATGAGCAAAGTGGTGGTTAGATCATAGCTAACTTTTTAATTGAAAATAGAAACCTCAGAACTTTATCCGCTCGTGGGTTAAGATAAATTTAGTTGCACATGTATAAAGTAAACAAAATACCTCGTGCAGTTATAATGTCATAAACTCAAAATCAACAAAACAACATTAAGCATGGACAACTTACATTGGGTGTAAAAAAAATAGACATTTATTACGTTCAGTTGTTCCACATCAAAACTCAGTACATTTACTTACTACCCCATTTTTTTCGGGGGGGGGGGTAATTCTGAGGATGACGTTGCAACGTCGAAACATGTAGAGTCGTCAACTTTTTGAAGGCCACAGATAGGCCTAAATCAAATGTTTTTAATTGTGTACCAGTTTTAACCTTGAATATTATTTATGATTTTAATACAAAAGTATTCTAATCGCAGACACCAAAATCTATTCCACTTGTTTTAGGCTTAACATTAGTTAAGTCTTTATTAAGTATGGCCTATATTCGATAAAGAGTTAAACTTACGCTGTAGGTTGTGTACGTTTTTTTGCTTTAGTTAGTTAGGGTTAAACTTCATCGTACTTAATACTGCAAATAAATAAACTTATAATGTTATTCTACGACGTAGCGTAGATAAACTTTTAATATGTTGTTGGACAAAACCTCTACTAAAGTATTTTACATCCGACTTTTGTTTACATCCGTTGGAAAGAAGTGCGCGTCCATGCGCATTTAGATAGTAAGGTGTGCTCGCATTATCAGACAGATAAAACTGAGTATTTGAAAAACCTAAATTAAAGATATTCTCAAATTACCATTTTCTATAATAACTACACTGAGGTGAGAGTCTCATCTTTATATATGCCCACATATTCTGATTAATTCTAATATAGAAGAACACTTGTAAGTTCAATGTCTCAGATATCAAGTAGTATTTCACATTGAAATGTGTGAAGTACACTGAGTGATTTCCACTTGACTATTAAAAAGTTAGGACAGATTGTTGATTGCAAGATTAACTGACCCCAAAAGGCATTGTGGCCCTTAATTCCCTATCAGTAGAGTAATGTTCAGTGGTAAGATGCTTGTATTACATCTAGTTGAATTGATCACCATATCTGGATGAAGAGACACCACAATACTTGCTAAAGTCGTTGCTAAGACACCTGGTGTTATTAGTTGTAATGCCCTGAACATTTACAGTTGGCAGAACTGAGAGTGATTTCTAGGATTTCTAATGCACCTGAAGAGTGAAATGACATTGCAATACTTGCTTTCTGAGTACTCCGATGGCAATTATTGTGACGAACAGTTGTAAAATATTTTAGTAACAAATATTTGACTTGTGTATACGTTAGTGAAAAGTTTTTGAAGCCTGTACACAGAATTATACAGCACTTCCGCACGTGCAATGAGAGAAGTGTGTTCTTTCTAAGTACGGAATGTGAATCAGGTAGCTGCGAATCTTTATTTTGCCTGTATTTAGTTTTTTTTATGACATCTACTGTAGTGAGTAGATCGACTGATGTATGTCAAGCCTGTTTCAGTTATTTGTGTAGGAACTAGTGGTTATAATATTACCATACCCTCTTTTCTTTCCACCTGGGCTCAGGCTTTGTTTGTATAACAACCAGAAAGCGTTGGAAGAAATGTGGGTGAATTATAGGTAGGTGTTGGTATGGCAAAAATAACACTGAGTAACACAGCACAGCTTATGTTGATCAAGTGTGGAACCCTCTAATCTGCTTGGACCAGGAACTTTATTATAGATACATTTCCTACAGGCAATGTTCTGCGCATGTATGCCTGTGGAAACTTATAAGCTTTGAAAACCTCTAAAGGGTTAAATTAAAAATGTGTTTTGAAATGTAATGGGCCTATTGCTAATGTCTTGTGACAAGTGTAGTTGTAATTATTTTTCGCCAGCTTGTAAAATCGCACACACCATAACAACTGTTGTAGTATCAAATGACATATAAATGGTGTTTCGCCCACTATTGTATGTGTTATATCCTATTCCTAGCCGGCTTCAAGAGTTGTGAATTAAGCGAAACGCGTTGTTGGCAAAGAATATGACAGATATAGTGTGGTTGGAACACTATTATTATACATTCTTCTAATTCTTGAAAACCCCGAAGGGACTAGATTAAGAACATGTTTAAAAATGTAATAAGCCTAATACGAATATCTTATGACAAGTATGGTTGTTGTTTGTTTTAAAGCTATAAAATGGGTTATTCGTGATCTGCCTGTCGCAGTACCGAAACTCGATTTTTAGAGTTATAAGCCAAGATACTTACCACTGAAACACCAGGGTGCATCTAGACAATAATAGGCAGGACAACTGAAGTCTACACGAGAACTGATATCGGTTGTTTACTAAATTGTCTTATTAGATCTCTCTACTGGTAAACTTCTTTCACTATCCCTGAAAGTAATGTTTCTAAAAATAGGAATATTTCAAATTTCACAACATTACTCTCACTTGTAAATATACTTTAAACCTAAGTTTGTTGTTACGACTTAAAAACTAAATGGTTATTAATAAAGCATTATCATCACGTGTTTTTTTTTTATTTGTTCTCTTCATTCTAATCTTACATTTTACATAAAATTAATCGCACTTCATGGTATTTCTGTTTGCTCTTCTACACTAACCGTAATTAAAATCCTCGTTGATTAACAAACGCTGTGCTCTTGAATAGAGTAAAGAAAGACTAAACTTGAAATCAAAGTTGAATCGATATTTTTTCTTGTCGATTTTATACGTCATTCAAGTTACAGTAAGCGAATTTGAGGATGTGTAATAAGTTACGAGTATACAAAGTTTCATGTTTATCATCTAGATGGTGTAGAGCTATTATAGCATAAACATTTTTTTGTTGTTTATAAGAACCTAAGGCAGATTTGTTTGGAACAATTTGTAATATGTTTTAACTATGGCAAAGGGGCTACGACGGAAAAAAAGTCTTCATAATTATTGCATTCACTGAAGCTCACAAAATATTTGTAAGAAGTTGTATATCTACTGTGTGAAACCTATTGTGTTGTTGAATGTTCGGTCAGAATCATCCGATGTTTCGTCCTTGGTGTGAAACCTGGTGTGAAACGTCATGACTAATGATAGTAATAAATCTTTCACGTTTTAAACTGTTGACAAATAAAGAAAATTAATTGTGTTATAAATTTGTGAAAGTTTATTTAAAAGAAAAAAACAAAATGGGACACATGAATGAGCTAAAAAGTTCAAAGTCCTACTCGGAGGTAAGTCTGAGGCTTATAACGTTAAAAATCCATATTTTACATCCGCGAGGGGCAGAGAACAGATATTCCATTGTGTAGCTTTCAGCTTAACAACGAAGAAACGTTCAAAAGTTCAAGTAATATACTTAATAAGTAAATAACCAACAGAATAAACCAGAAAAGAATCTGTAGATTTCAAAATGAAAATATGATCTTCATCGAAGGATTATAGATACTCTAGGATATTTTGCTGCTGCTGTAAGAATTGTGCTCAAGATTATATAAGATTGTTTTCAAGTAAAAGGCTGCTGTAGCTTTTCCAATCACAGAAAGAAAAAAAAATCTTAAGGCGCCACCTTTTATTTTTCTAATTTTACTGTATGCTAATTTTGCTACATAGTTTTAGTAGACAGCATTGTAACGGTTTTTAGATAAGGAACATTATATTTCAATATAGTGTTAATGTGCTACACACTTAACACCAGAAAATAATTCGATAATGATCTGGCGAGAATGTTAACATAAATATCTTAATACATTTTACTTTGCATTGCAGCGTTTTCTGTGGTTTCAAGTGAACCTAATATTGAACTTTAAGTTTGGAATTATATAAGATCATATGTTAGGAGGTAATGTTTGACGGAGGCCTAATGAAAATAAAAGTTTATTTATTTACTGTGAATATAGTGTAATGTATGATAACGTTCGAATGATATATATAAAAATATTCTCGATAAACTAATTTTTCAAGTGGCCGTGTGTTATAAGAATCGTCTTTTGGTTGGATGTTTGAAAGCAGCCTAGTAGGATGTCAAACTTTTTCATCATACTTATCACTTTCAGCTCAGTGGGGTACCAGCTTTACTCACCACACATGGTTTGACATACTAACGTAGTTTTGAAGGTTACAAAATCGTTATCTCAAATCTATGGTGAAATATTCAAATTACTGTCTAAATAGGGTACCAAATGCTCCCATCAAACTTATTGAGTGATGTTTGGAAGTGGCTAAGCAAGTAAAAAAAAATTATATATATATATATATATATACACGGTGGTATTTTTTAATTAATAAAAATGATTTATTAAATTAATTAATTTTGAAATTAATAATTAGCTGTTTGTTTCCAGTTTCAATATGGTAATTCTTGGTACTTTACCAGAGGGCTTTATTTTCTTATATGCGTAAAACTGTAAAAGTTATGCATACACATTTATTTATATAGTGTAGATATTTACTGTCAACATTTACACATATTAAGCCGACATAATTATAAGGGTTATCTTGTTTCTTGTTAACTTTCATTAGGCTTAGCTTTGATAAAATTATCGAAACATTTTAATATAATAGAAATTTTTACCTTTGAAACTTAAATTCTTGCCTGAACGCTTATTGAATATTTTGATAATGTAATTTGATCTAAACCAACCAAACGTTTTATGTATATAACTTTAACGCAAAATCTGATAAACTAGTCTGCTTAGCGTAGTTAAAGATCCTTTTGTTCTTAGCTACGTAGATAATTATTATTTACTAACATTAACGAGAGTTGTAAATACTGATGACTGCTACAATATATAAAAAAATAATAATAAAAGATAGTTTGTAAATATAGTTCACAAAAAATATGCATATTCAGTTCTTCAAGTACGCTAATATATAGAAAAATTTTCAAGCTATTTCTGCTGCAATTGGTATATGACAACAAACGTTTACGAAGGTTATTATTTACTTATATTGTTCAGCGTTAAGAACTTTAAAAGACATTTCATCTTTCATTACAAAATGGACCAGGCTTTTTCGTAGAGTATAGTCAGTCAGACATGCTTATGTCTAAGTTTTGAAACTGTAGGTTCATACTCACGTTAATTTTCGCCGATACTTATATTTTTTGAAGATTCATCAAAATATTCAAGTTAGAGCAATAGTGATTTTAGTAATTACACATAATTAAGAATACATAAGAACACACTTCAAATACCTTTAGATGTGCTTGTTGTTCTCTCTTTTATTTCCACTCTTTTGTTTTCTTTTCAACAAAGTATCGACATTTAATGTTTCTCCAAGTCTCAGAGAAAAAAAAAAACACACCTGACCGAACTGTGTAAACAAATAAGAAAATCTATAGTTAAAATGCAAAGCATGGTTCTTGTGAATTGTATTTATTTGAAGTCAACATGAAAGGTTCGGTGCTGATTTCAACTTAGTTTCTTCGAGCACGTCTATCAAAATCTTTGTATAGAGACTTCAGTCGATTTCCTGGACTCAAAGTATAAAACTTACCTAAGTTAAATCCACTTCATGATTCGAAGTGCAGCCATAGCTTGTATAAAGCTCGACGAATGAGGAGTTTTAAATCTTTGCCTATTCTTTAAATCTGTATCTCGTTTGAAGAGTACTGGTAAGATTCTTGTAATTATTTCTAAAACTTCAACTTATTTCGCTTTCTTTTATTTTTCTATTGCCTTCGGGTTCAGTTTTACGATAACACAATAAAATAAAATACATCTTGAAAGCAAAAATGTCTTTTCTGATCGAATATTATTAAAGTATAGCTATAACTCATTAATAGAGCAATTTGTGTTGTAATTATAGAAAGTAGTTTCCAGTGGCTAATGATAATTCATTGTGCACTATCATTTCTTGGCATGCATTACATAAAGTTGAACTTCACGAGAAGTAATTACAAATAAGCAGCTTACGGTTAAAATGTATGTAATAAACACGATTTTTCCTTGAAGGAGTTAGTCTAAGATATTGGAAAGTAAAAATTATTTTTCGTATAGGAAAATAATGGCAACGACACCTATAATTAATAAGACATATCTGAAATTATATCTAAGTGTTTAATTTTAATTACTCATATTTCATTTCTTGGGCGGAATTATAGTCGTTTGTAGGTTCACAGCAAAATTATACGTTTAATACTTAACCTTTCATTTCCACCGGCTAATCAGATTTAATGATAACATTACATGATAATCACATTGCATGGAATGATTACTTTATAAATACAGACATTTCCTTCGTCGATTGTTTTAATATGGGCATGAAATTATTTGTTCCTTGTTAATCATCCAGCAAAAATGAGTATTTCAAAGAACGCAGCATCCAAAACAATACACGCGGAAACTGAAACTAACCTTATTTTTCAAAGTTTCCTGATCTCAAAGAAAAGATGGGCATTAGAAGACTGCACCTCAGAAGGCTTTTAAATACGAAGAATATTTGAAAAGTGTTACTTAAAAACAAAGCCTAGAAATATTTTACACTTATATTAATCCTTTTAAATCCTTATCGATTCAAACAAACACGAAAATGCTTCTGGAGTAGAAAGTATTAGTTTGTTTTTGTTCTTTTTTTTTTGCCGAAATCTAATGCATCATATAGACATCATAATCTTGCTCTCAATGAAATGGAAATGCTTTTTACCTTTTTTTGACGCACGAAAGCTGTCATCTCGAGGGATGTGTTTGATGTCATACACTAAACTGGCATTAGGCAGGATGGTTCTGTCTTTGTTGATTCTATACACCGCATATTTGAATGCTAGTTCTATTGGACTGTTCTTCTGATCTTCTAGAAACAGAGCACCTGAAAACAGCATATACAAATTATTATAAAGTATTTCCTTTATACGGTTAGGCTACATCCTATAACTAAGCTTTAACTGTCGAAGCAGTGGTTTTTAACTTCACTGATTATGCCATTTTTAATTTTTCTCTCTGAAATCATGCAATCGTTTTTAACATACTAATTTATGCATTTTCAATTAATGCATTTTGTACAATTGAAGACTGGTTTAATTTTTGTCGATACTCAGTTCTTAGACGCTTGAAAATTTTGAAGGTTCTATTATATTATTGTTCTTCTCAAAATCCCCATTTTGATTCCATGTTAACAGTACTTATCAATTTTTAGTGAAGTCAAATTGAGAATTTATAGCTTGAAAACATAATGCAGACACTATATCCAGTCTACTTTGTTTAGTTGTTTTTAGAGTTCCTAGTTGTAGGCTTGAAAATATAATATTTGCATTTTGATTTAACTTGTTTCTGTACTTTTTTGACGATCCCTATTCCGTTTGTAAAATTAACAATTTTGAATTATTTTGTTTCTTGAGTTTTAATGTTAATTTATTGAGGATAAACTTTAAGCTACGTACGCACATATGCATTAAGTTGAATGTTACATGTTTTTCAACAGTTTACTGCTGCATTGGCTTTTCTCCACCCGACCATTATTTACTGAGCTAGGTGGTTTTGTGCCTGAGGTTTTGTGTATTCAAGCGAAGTACGAGAATCAGTAGAATAAATCACTACTCACAAGAGTAGAGAAATCTACTATGGTAATTTTCTATTGTTAGAAAACTCACTAATATAGTCGCAGAAACCTACGTAGAGACAAATAAAACAGCGAACTCGAGAAATGATGAATCCTTAATGTGGCACTTTTCAATTAATGCGCTATAAACTGCACAGATTATTTCCCAATTAATGCACATTAATAAAAATTCTTCAGGGTGAAAAAACTAATGCGTTTGAATTCATTTTAAACTACTTTATAAATACTCAATACTGCAATAATTACTATTGTCCAGGTTTCAGTAAAATATTCGTACCGGTTTTTTTTTTCAGTAGCAGCTTGTAAAACTATGATCAATAATAATAATATGGCTGGAAACACTGTTATAAATATACATATTGTTTACCCTAATAAAACGAAGCATTTCCGACTAGTATAACGGGGCCTAAATGGCTTCTGCATTTCTGTGATGCATAAATGGCATTGAAGAGCTTATGGTGGCAGCGAAGAAGAATTTAAATAATTTTAGAAGGTGAAAATCTCGATATCCAAGAATCAAATTAAAAATAGCTCTACAACCTTCGCAAGAGCTTGTTTAGTAGTTATGCATAGATTTTGGCGCAGTATACATAGCCATTTTTGTTCTAGGCTTCGGTGCTTTATTGGCTTCGAAGAGAAATTTGGCCAGTAGCCTTCACTTTCAAGAATCAACATAAACATAGTCCTATGATCTTCGCAGGGTTTTTTTTAATACATTTACCCAGGATTAAATGAAATAATCAAACAATAATAATAACAATAATATGAAGAACAAGTGGATGAATTTTCAATTTTATGTAACAATCGAAAAATCAACTTTTTTGTTATTATGAATATCTTAGCATCCTTAATAATTGAGATAGAAGGTCTTAAGTGTTGGTTCAAGAACAAGTCTGCTTTTGAAGATGGTTTTTGCCCGTATGTTTTATTAGAATTTTTGTGAAATTCCTGGGCGAACCATATTATATATATATATATATATTCTGTTACACCATTCTCACGAAGTAAGCAAAACAAATTACTATCATTACTATTAGGCCCGGCATGGCCAGGTGGTTAGGGCACTCGACTCGCAATCTGCGGGTCGCGGGTTCGAATCCCCGTCACACCAAACATGCTCGCCCTTTCAGCCGTGGGGGTGTTATAATGTGATGGTCAATCCTACTCTTCGTTTGTAAAAGAGTAGCCCAAGAGTTGGCGGTGGGTGGTGATGACTAGCTGCCTTCCCTCTACTCTTACACTTGTAAATTAGGGACGGCTAGCGCAGATAGCCCTCGTGTAGCTTTGCGAGAAATAAAAAAAACAAAAACAAATCATTACTATTACTTTCTATCTAGTTAAAGTACAATTGTCTGTCGGTCTGGTATCTTGGTGTCACAATCTGGCTGACCTAATTTTGATTAAATTTGGTTTGTTTGTTCATTTTTGGATTTCGCGCAAAGCTAGCCGTCGCTAATTTAACAGTGAAAGATTAGAGGGAAGGCAACTAGTCATGACCACCCATCGCAAAATCTTGGGCTACTATTTTACTAGCGAATTGACCGTCACATTATTTCGCCCGTACGGCTGAAATGGCTAACATGTTTGGTGAGACGGGGATTCGAACCCGCGATTGCGAGTCAAGCGTCCTAACCATCTAGCCAAGTTTGGTAAATAAATTAAAGTAGACTCCTCACAGATGACTTTAAATGTATAAACTGGTACTAGACTAACAAATGTACCCACAGTTGTCACGGCATTTGTTTTTGGTCGAAACTGAATACGGGCGATCAGCAAAGATATCCATGCTAAGAATACTATGAAACATCACTTTTGTTTGACGTCGGCTTCACGTAATGAAAAGTCAAATGGCTGATAAACTTAAGCCGTATCTCTTAGCTAATAATGAAATGATCTACCTGCGCTCCTATATGAAATTTTATGGAAACTTGTTCAGCCAGTTCCTCATAACAACAAAAAACTCTGCTTTGTGTATATTGATTTTTGTGATAAATAAAACATTACAGGGGTTAATTAAAACCAAGCCTGTGATAATTGCTTACTTCAGATTTGTAAAAAAGTTATGAGAAACTTAAATCATTAGAAAAGAGAGAAGTAGTCTTATTGCGCCATTAAATTTTAATTGAAGTAGTAAATTCTTATTTACCTTCTTTTGACATAACAGGAAAATACCCCCAGCCAAAACTAAAGGCTTTGTAGGTGAGCATTGCCAATAACTGTAACTCAACAAAACTGAGGGAATGGAATATCTTACGGGAATATACTGTATTATTTCTGATGAAAAGCACCCGTTGGGATGATCATCAAAGCTGTGAAGTGTGTGGTATCTTGCATTAAACATGAACTAGGATATAAAAGAAACTGGTACAAAATCGTTCTTTTAAATCGATAAAAGCAGAACGAAATATGAGAAAAGCACGTACTTCACCCACCAGGTTGCCTCAGGTTATTGTATTACTTATTCCATCTTACAGTTCTTCTTTCGTTATGCAACAACTACGTTCTACCGGAGTTGCCTCATTATGACGACTAACGTATTGCAGAGAAAAATAACATCTACACAAACACACATATATAATGGCTTTCCGCCCTCGTGCTCCATTTCAAATTGAACATATATAAAATATATTTAGTGATGTTAAAGATATTAGCGAAAATTGAAGAATATTTGCCGATAATGATAAATAAAATAGCAGTTTATTTGGAGTATTATATAGTATCTTTGTTTCTTATAATTTTTTTAAATCAATTTCTTTAAAAGTCACGGTTTAAACACCGTAAACTGGCGAAGAACTAGAAACGTTTAGGCCAAAAATTTCTAATACAAATCATGCTAACTACAAACGTCTTTTTTTCACTTTCCTCTTCTTTTATCTATTTCGAATTGAAAAATCAAAGGCGATTAAGAATAGCAGTTCATATTTATGTCTTGTCTTCCATAAAGTCGCTGCACTACATGTCTTTCGTTAAATACCATAACTCATCAGTTGGACTAGATGGACAAAAAGTATTATACTGCATACATAAATAGCGTTTCACGGAATATTTTGTCTCTCATCGTACAATCCCAACTGACGGACGAGCTCTGGTATTGACCGAAAGGCCTCTTAAGCAATGAGTGACTTGTGGGAGACAAAAAATAGATCTGAAATGGTATTTTTACACGCATCTCCTGTTGAACTTGAAAACTGCTACATTAGACATTATTTAAGGAACAAAATTAATACCAAAAATATATAAACTTTGACTAAAATTTTCAATAGTATTTGAACAACTTATAATAATAGCAATTTTTTTTTACTTTCTTTTGAAATATGCGATCCACCAAAAACCCTTCATTTTTATCATGTTATCTAAAGGTTTGAATGATTTCAGGAGTAATCAATATTAAACGAAGCTATTAAGTGTGGGGGTTCGGCATGGCCAGGAGGTTAGGACGCTTGACTCACAATATGAACGTCGCTGATTAGAATCTCCGTTCCACCAAACATGCTCGCCCTTTCAGACGTAGAGGCGTTATAATGTGAAGGTTAATCCCCCTATTCGTTGGTAAAAGAGTAGCCCAAGGATTGGCGGTGGGTGGTGTTGACTAGCTACCTTCCCTCTATTCTTTCACTGCTAAATTATGGAGGGCTAGCACAGATAGTCCTCGTGTAGCTTTGCGCGAAATTCAAAACAAACAAACAGAAAACCTAAGTGCAATCAATTTATAAAGTTACTAAAGATAACCTGGTTATCAAAACTTACAAATAAATCCACAGTAGAAGTTCATGGTGTCCTGTCCTGGAATTTATAACTTACAGCTTAGTAATATATTCTAAGCTGAACATTTTCAATAATATAATACTATATGGTGTTTTAATTGTAACATGTTTTATTAACAGATAAGCTATAATATAGCGACATTAAAAACAGTGTATAATGAGCCATTTCAGATGCCTATTCAAACAGGATGAAAAAGATGTTGCTATTTACAAAATACTAAATTTTTGCTATTTGTGTGTTTGTCAGAATAATGCGGATTATTTATGTAGTCATCTTCATGTTTTGCGTGTGACGAGATTTAAATTTTCAAATTTTTGAACTTTCCACAAATATACAAATACTATCTTCTTTATAGCTAATATTCGACTTATGACGTAAGTTTCTTACAGTACTGAATTCATAATTATATATTGCTTACTATTTACAAAAAAAAAAAACTATAATATATTGTTATCGCCATAGAATGAAAATGGTGGAACGTATTC